TCCTGGCCTACATCCCTACACGTACCAGCGGACCAGCCATAGTTCTTCACTTCTTCCTTGAGTTCTTTCTTCCACCAAAATTCTTTCTTTGACCCATTTTAGTTGGCTAATTGACTTTGCAATTTACTTAATTAATTTTTCTTTGTTTGATATTACTGGAAATTTACTTGGCTAATTTTAGTTGTTTGATATTACTTAACTAATTTTACTAGAAATTTTAGTTTGATATTACTTATTTAATTTTAGTTGTTTAACATCTATTGTAACATTATTTAACTTGAACATTATTTTTAACATTTACATGCTTATACTTAATATTTTAATTATCTTTTGTTGCCGAATCCTTGCCGTCCCCGCATCCTTAAATTTTTAAAAATGCCGATTCCCGAATCCGTCCCCGTCCCCGTATATGTTCCCGCACCCGCCCCAGTGCAACCTAGACCTCAATAATATAAACACTCAAACGAAATATACAATAGAGTTTTTCAACACATAAACTACTCCGGTCTAACCCCTTTATACTGCAAGTAACTACAGCTCAACTTCATAACAAATTCAGTAGTACAACAACAATCATAATCTTCACTATTCTGAGCTCTCCAAATGCCAAATAAAAACAAATCACACCCATAAGTATTGAGCTAATCATCAGCCTTACTCTGGCACTATATGAGAAGTGTTTAGAGCTCCAAGTCCTTATTCTCTTAGTGATTTTATCCACCAGAAGATCACATACACTCATGTGCCCTCAACATGGCAGCTGTGATGGGACACCCATGATAAGTCATAGGTAGTTTACCTAATTCCATGTTAATGAAGGCCTCTTGGTTGCCATTCACAATATAAGGAAGAATACCTTTAAGTCTACTGGCTATGAGTTTAGTAATTACCTTATAGATAGTGTTGTTGAGGTATTTTGATTAAATAATTGAAATAAAATTAAAAAAAAAGAGATGTAACTTGGTGGAAACAACCAAGAAGTGCAGGAGAGCCTTTAGGAGTTTTGTCTTCTTCTCTTGGAGGGTGTGAGCTAGATTATTCTCCATTATTGTGTATTTGGCTATTTAAAAGCCATGAAACAATACGTAGGGAAGGAAGAGAGGAAAAGAGAGGAAGGTTAAAGAGAGAGGTGTTACACAAGATATCACCAACATTGTGTGAGTGAGTGTAGGGAGTAACTGGTTTTAGTTACTCGGAAAATACATCCTGGTGTAGGGTGTGAAAAGTCTGTTTATAAGTGTCTGGTATTTAGCACTTGTAAATCGGGAGAGTTTTTTGTATATCGTTCTGAAATAGTGAAGATATAATTTTTCTCTCATATTTTCTTCTCGTGTTTGTTCTCTCATTTTTCTGGTGTTCTCAATATTTTTCGGTATCTTACGCGCTTAAAATCTCAACAATTGGTATCAAAGCCAAGTTACATTGGGGCGGAGGGATTTCTAAGCGGTAAGAGAAGAAAGTCGAGAACTTGAAAAATGGCATCGGTAAAAAGTTCGAATGTTTCCGTCGAACCTTTCGATGGACGTGGCGATTTTACTCTGTGGAAACAACGAGTAAAAAGTGTTCTTACTCGGGAAGGGACAATCAAAGCTCTGAAGGTGAAGGTTCAGAGGACAGAAAAAATGACGGATGCTGAGTGGGCCAAACACCGGAAGAACGACAAACCGGAAAAATTGTCGGAAGAAGAGTGGGAGGATTTGAAGGACATGGCAATATGCCTATGCCTTGCAAATAATACTCTTCGGGAGCTCGGTTTGACGGACCCAGTGGATATTTGGGACAAGCTGGAGAGCCGGTACAAGTCGAAATCGTTGACAAGTAGGCTATACTTGAAGAAACGATTATTTGGTCTCCAAATGGCGGAGGAAGCTAACTTTAATGGGCACTTGGATGAATTCAACAAGATTACAACAGAGTTGGAATCCATTGATGTGAAGATTGAAGAGGAGGACAAGGCGCTGCTTTTGTTGGCTTCATTGCCTTCATCTTTTGACAACATCGTGACCACGCTNTTGCAAATAATACTCTTCGGGAGGTTCTCGGTTTGACGGACCCGGTGGATATTTGGGACAAGCTGGAGAGCCGGTACAAGTCGAAATCGTTGACAAGTAGGCTATACTTGAAGAAACGATTATTTGGTCTCCAAATGGCGGAGGAAGCTAACTTTAATGGGCACTTGGATGAATTCAACAAGATTACAACAGAGTTGGAATCCATTGATGTGAAGATTGAAGAGGAGGACAAGGCGCTGCTTTTGTTGGCTTCATTGCCTTCATCTTTTGACAACATCGTGACCACACTTTTGTTTGGAAAAGAGACCTTAAAATTTGATGAAGTAGTTGCTGCGTTGTTGATGAACGAGACTCGGCGGGGTGGCAACGGGGTATCAAATGACGGTCAAGCTTTGGTAGCAAAAGGAGCTGGTCGGGAACGAGGACGGTCTAAAGAGAGGGGCGGCGCGTCCCAACGCTTCCAATCGAGTAGTAAAAGCTTTCGGTGTTACTACTGCGATGAAGAGGGTCATTTCAAAAGGGATTGTCCAAAGAGGAGGAAGGAAAAGAAGGACGGGAAAACACCCGTGACTACGGTTGCAGAAAGTTCGAACCAAGAAAGTGAAGAAGACTTATTTTTGGCAACCGCAAAGAGCCTAGGTAAATCAGATTGGATATTAGATTCGGGTTGTTCGTTTCACATGTGTTCAGTTAAGGAAAAGTTTGATACCTATCAAACTTGTGATGGGGGTGCTTTGAAGATGGCAAATGGTGCACGGAGAAAAATTGCAGGGGTCGGAACAGTGCAAGTTCGCATGTTTGATGGCGTGGTGAGAACATTAACTGGAGTGAAACATGTACCGGGTCTAAAAGGAAATGTGATTTCATTGGGGGCTTTAGACTCAGAAGGCTACCGAATTTTTGCTAAAGGTGGAGTTTTAAAAATTTCTAGGGGAGCAATGGTGGTAGCAAAAGGAGTTTTGTCAAAGGGCTTGTATAAACTTGTAGGAAAAGATTTGACACGGAAGTTGTCAAAAGGAAAAATTACAAGTGCAACGAGCGGAGCATTTGCATGGAAGAAGCGGGTGACGTTTAAAGTTTCTCCCGCTGGTGGAAGCTGTGACCTCGCCGGAACGAGCTAGGTGGAGCTGGACCAAGTTTTATTATTTAATCAAGGTGGAGTTTGTTGAGGTATTTTGATTAAATAATTGAAATAAAATTAAAAAAAAAAAAGAGATGTAACTTGGTGGAAACAACCAAGAAGTGCAGGAGAGCCTTTAGGAGTTTTGTCTTCTTCTCTTGGAGGGTGTGAGCTAGATTATTCTCCATTATTGTGTATTTGGCTATTTAAAAGCCATGCAACAATACGTAGGGAAGGAAGAGAGAAAAAGAGAGGAAGGTTAAAGAGAGAGGTGTTACACAAGATATCACCAACATTGTGTGAGTGAGTGTAGGGAGTAACTGGTTTTAGTTACTCGGAAAATACATCCTGGTGTAGGGTGTGAAAAGTCTGTTTATAAGTGTCTGGTATTTAGCACTTGTAAACCGGGAGAGTTTTTTGTATATCGTTCTGAAATAGTGAAGATATAATTTTTCTCTCATATTTTCTTCTCGTGTTTGTTCTCTCATTTTTCTGGTGTTCTCAATATTTTTCGGTATCTTACGCGCTTAAAATCCCAAAAAGTGTTTGCAACATGCTATAGGTCTGTGGTCTTGAGGGATGACAGACTTTTCTTTCTTAGGGATAAGGGTCAGACATGTGTTATTGATAACCCTCTTATTCCTTTTAAAGAACTCAGTTACAGCCTTGCATACCAAACTATTAATTTTGTACCAAGGTCAAATCACAAAAAGTATGACAGGTGAGGTTCAGCAAGCTCTTTATGTTGAGGTAATTGGCAGCCTAAAACCAAAAGGTGAGATCATAAACACATGCATCACAACAAACAACACAATGAATGTAGCATCAAACATCGATCACACGTACTACTATATATAGCGATGTGAATGAATGTAATCCGACTGTCAAACGCAACTAAGTTTGACGAAGTTAGTGGAATCTCTAGCACGGTTGCTTTAGGGACTAGACGTCGTAGGCGTTAAGCCGAAGCAGTATACATCGTTGTCTTGTACTCTTCTTTGATATTGTTGCATTTCTTTGTTGGAGTGCTCCTGTGATTTTTGGCTTGGAGAAAATTTATGTTTTTGAAGAACACTTGTATTCACCCCCCTCTAGAGGTGTGCAAGGCATCTAACAAATTTAATTTACAAGGACAAGACACATATTTAGCCCTTTTACATTTATTTTATCATCTTATTTTTAAATTTTGAATTTTTTCTAATTATTATTTTTAATTATGATTGTTTATTTTCTTGTTCAATTTAGTTTTTTATTTTCTAATTTAATTTTTTTAATTCAAATTTCAGTTTATTTTTTATTTTTATTTATTAAAAAAATATTTATAAATAAAAATGATAAAAAATTAATTTATCTCAACAACGAAGTCTAAAAGCCTTCTCCTTGACTTTCGAGATTTTGGCTTTTCGAACTGAGCAGCCAAGTGAAAAAGTCATTTCTCAAACAACAATTTTGACTGTTTGACTAGTCAAAATACATGGAGTTAGTCAAAGAAGCCTAAAGGATTACTTTTCGTGGTCCAAAGTTTCTAACTTTTCGTTGTAAATAATAGCAAAACGGAGTAAAAATATTAGAGAAAAGTGCACCATTTAGCCTCGAACTCTTCAGAAATTACACAATTTACCCTTAAACTTTAAGAATGCACCATTTACCCCCGAATTCTATGAAAATTGCACGGTTTACCCCTTAACATTAAAAACTGCACTGAAATACTCCCGAACAATTTAAAACGTTGCACTGTTTATCCTAAAATGTTAGAAGTTGTTGTTCTTTATGTAACCCAACCCTAGAAGTTGTTTTTCATCAATCGAGGATCTTCGAGCATGACATTTTCATCTTTGATTTCCAATCGCCGTGAGAAGAAGGCCTTGACAAAAAGACAATTTGAAGCTATATATGTCTGAAAGTGAAGCCTTACTTAGATCTATGCTACGGTACAGTCATGTATGTTGTGTGCACTACTACAAAAAAGACTTTTTAAATCGGTTATTTTGACCCTTTTAAATCGGTTTATAACCGATGCAAAAGCCAGCGATGCAAATGCTCAGATAACATTTGCATCGGTTATTACCAAATAACCGATGCAAAAGGTTAGGTGCGCAGACTTTTTTTATTAATAAAAGAAGCAATTGCATCAGTTATTAGGTAACAACCGATGCAATTACTATCAATTGCATCGGTGGTTAACAAAGAACCGATGCAACTGCTCCCTTATTAAAAAAATCTGCATTACGTCGGAACAAATATGCAGCAGCAAGAGGAAAAAGCATTTCTCTAATTCAAAGTAGATTGAAAGTAGCTAGATACGCATTTCAAAAAAATTCTCAAAGCAGATTAGATTCAAAGATCCATGCTTCCAATGAACAAAAGAAAATAACATTTCTCAAATTCAAAAAAAAATTGAAGAAGAATTACAATTCAAAATTGAAAAAGAATAACAATAATATAGAGTTACAGAGAGCGTCGCATTGTAGGGCTCCACCACCGTGTTGGACACCTTTGGCGACGGAAAAACGGAGAAAGTTAACATCATCCGGTCAGGGTACTCCTCCCTTATCTTCGATATCAACAGCGTCCCCATGCCAGACC